ATGCATATCCCCGAGTACAGCCAGATTGTAAGCCCTCTCTATCTGGTAACTCGCAAGAAGAATGATTTCCAGTGGGGTCCTGAACAACAGCAAGCATTTGAACAGATTAAACAGGAGATTGCCCATGCTGTAGCCCTTGGACCAGTCAGGACAGGACCAGATGTGAAGAATGTGCTCTACTCTGCATCTGGGGATAAGGGCCTCTCCTGGAGCCTCTGGCAGAAGGTACCTGGCGAGACCCAAGGCTGCCCACTTGGATTCTGGAGCTGAAGCAACAGAGGGCCAGAAGCCAATTACACTCCAACAGAAAAGGAGATCCTAGCAGCTTATGAGGGAGTACAAGCTGCCTCAGAGGTGATTGGCACAGAAGAACAGCTCCTCCTGGCACCTCGGCTACCAGTATTGAGTTGGATGTTCAAAGGGAAAAAGTCCTCTACGCATCATGCCACTGATACCACCTGGAGCAAATGGATCGCCCTGATCATGCAGCGCGCCCGCATTGGAAACCCAAATCGCCCTGGGATCCTAGAAATTATCACGAACTGACCGGAAGGTGAGAATTTTGGTCTAGCAGAAGAAGAAAAAGGAGCAGGTGGTACGGGCAGAGGAAGCCCCAGCATACAACCAACTACCAGAAGAAGACATACGCTACGCACTTCTTTACTGATGGTTCCTGCCATATTGTAGGAATGAAACGTAAATGGAAAGCAGCTGTATGGAGTCCCACATGACAAGTTGCAGAAGCTATGGAAGGAGAGGGTGAATCAAGCCAATTCGCAGAGCTCAAAGTTGTCAAGTTAGCATTGGACATTGCTGAACAAGAGAAGTGGCCAAAACTTTACCTCTACACGGACTCATGGATAGTAGCCAATGCCCTGTGGGAGTGGTTGGACAGATGGAAGAAGACCAATTGGAAACGTAGGGGAAAACCCATCTGGGCCGCTGATATATGGCAAGACATTGCTACCCGGGTAGAGAAGCTGATTGTGAGGGTCCGCCACATAGACACCCACGTGCCCAAAAATTGAGCCAATGAAGAGCATCGCAACAATGAACAGGCAGACCGAGCTGCACAAGTTGAGGTGTCACAGGTGGACCTAGACTGGCAGCACAAAGGCGAATTGTTCTTTTCACGATGGACCCATGATGCCACCGACCATCAGGGAAGAGATGCCACCTACAGATGGGCATGAGACCGAGGGGTGGATCTAACCATGGATGCTATCTCTCAAGTTATCCATGACTGTGAGACGTGCTACCATTAAACAGGCTAAGAGACTGAAACCCCTGTGGTATGGTGGACGATGGAATAAATACAGGTATGGGGAGACTTGGCAGGTTGATTATATCACACTGCCACAGACCCATCAAGGTAAGCGCTATGTGCTCACCATGGTGGAAGCCACCACTGGATGGCTGGAGATGCATCCAGTGCCCCACGCCACTGCCAGAAATACCATCCTGGGCCTCAAAAAGCAGGTCCTGTGGCGGCACAGCACCCCAGAGCGAATTGAGTCAGATAATGGGACACACTTCAAGAATAGTTTAGTTACCACCTGGGCGAAAGAGCATGGCATTGAGTGGGTCTATCACATACCATACCATGCAGCAGCTGCCGGGAAGGTTGAACGGTGCAATGGACTGTTGAAGACTACCCTGAAAGCATTAGGTGGAGGGACTTTCAAAAACTGGGATCAACACCTAGCAAAGGCTACATGGTTAGTCAACACTAGAGGCTCCGTCAATTGAGCTGGTCCTACCCAATCAGAGTCCCTTCACACTGTAGACAGGGACAAGGTCCCAGTGGTTCACATGAGAGTTATGTTAGGTAAAACAGTTTGGGTTAACCATGCCTCGAGCAAAGGCACATCCATTCGTGGAATTGTCTTTGCCCAAGGACCTGGTTGCATATGGTGCGTGATGCAAGAAAATGGAGAAACCCGGTGCATACCCCAAGGAGATATCATCTTAGGGTAAATAGGCTATAATTGTATCCATATTTGTACCTATATATTTGTGAATATGTACATAGTTTAGAATAATGTATGTATGTATGGAGTTCAAAAAAGTTCAATTTGATAGATGTATGGTGGCATGGGAAAGGGAAAAAAAAATTAGGGGTGGATAATGTCATAGTTCTGATTTCAGCAAGGAATTTTTCTTTCCCTTCCCTTCTGCGTGTGTGCTCTGTGGATGGACCATCAGATGAAACAAAAGAATCGGCCTGGCTCAGTAATGGCCAAGAGATCAGTCTCCTTGACAACAAAGGGGGGGGGTTGGTGTGTGGCTGGAAGGAGGTGGGGCGGGGTGTCAGCTCAGTCTCTTGACCCGGAGGAGAGCGACTGCGGGTTGCAGACACTGCCAGGGGTTTTCTTTGTCTTTTTCCTGTCGTAGTTTTTGCTGCTGCTCTCGGCTTAGCTGTTGCTGGCTACAGGCCCTGCTTACAACGCACCCTAATCAGCTGAAGGTTGTTTTCTTCCATTGAGAGAACTTTGCGTTTTATTGCTGTTGTTTTTCCTTCCCCTTCTTCCCCCCCCCCAGCCACCTGGTGGCAGCCAAGGATCTCACAGCGCCGCCTGGTGATGGGCACTGGACATTACAAGTTCTACTCCTCCAGTGATCCCACAGCGCCACCTGGTGACTACTATAGGACACTACAAGTTCTGCACCTTCAGTAACTCAACAGCCCCACCTGGTGAATGGTATAGGACATTACAAATTTTGCATCTCTAGTGACCCGACGGCACCCCCTTCTGACTGTGGCTGGAACTGCACCAAAGGGTGCTAAAAATTGAACTATTTAAATTTCCCTTTTGCCGGTTTATCGGTTTTGTTCTTGAAGGGGATTATTGGTGGGTATAGGAGTATTGCTTGGTTGTTTTACTTTTTTTTTTTCGTGTTCCTATTAATACACACATACCTTTTAATAAAGGGCTGTTATTTTTTGTTTTCCCTTTTCCATAATTTGTTTTCCTTCAATCGGAGCCTTTTAATTTCGGATTTATAATTGCTTAGCAAAAGAAGTTTTGGTCTTTTCCACCTAATCCATCCTCAGCAAAAGACCCTTGTCCTATTTAAACTGGGACAGTAATACACACTTGCAGTCCAGAAAGTCAACAGTACCATGGGTTACATCAAAAGAAGCATGGCCAGCAGGAGAAGGGAGGTGATTCTTCCTCTTTGCTCTCTTGAGACCCCACCTGGAGCACTGTGTCCAGCTCTGCTACCTTGTTGTGGTTTAAGCCCAGCTGGAAAATAAGCACCATGCAGTTACTGTCTCAAACTCCCTCTCTCCCACCCACCCTGGTGGAATGGGGTGAAGAATCAAAACTAAAACTTGTAGGTTGAGATAAGAACAGTTCAATAATTGAAAACAAAGAAATACAGTAATAATAGAAAGTAATTAGAAAAGGAAAGGAAAAAAAGCAAACAAGTGATTCCTAATACAATTGCTCACCACCCACTGACAGATGCCAGACCCTGTTCCCGAATTCAGATTGGCCCCCCTTCCAGGTAACTCCTCCCAGTTTATATACTGAACATGACATTCTATGGTGTGGAATAGCCCTTTGGTCAGTTAGAGTCACCTGTCCCAGCTATGTTCCCTCCTAGATTCTTTTCTTGTTTGTTCCTCCTCACTGACAGAGCATGATACACAAGCCAAAAAAGAGACCTTCACTTAGGATCAACATAACTTAGCAAAAACCAAAACATTAATCTGTTATCAACATTATTCTCATTCTGAATCCAAAATACAGCACTATATTAGCTACTGAGAAGAAATTACCTCCATCCCAGCTAAAACCAGGACAGGCCTCCAACATATGAAGGACCTATTGGAGCAAGTCTAGAGGAGGGCTGCAAAGAT